ATGCTTATAAAACATACTGGACCACCCACATCTAAATCTATCTCATTCATTTGGCAACACATGCTTATACAATCTTTGTGGGGTCAAGATTTGATTTATGGTGCCTTATGACCACCCTTCAAACCACTTTGAAGGATGGACCCCTGACCCAATACCATTGAACCCTCCAAAAAGAATAACTTTAATCCAAAGGCACTTTCCTAATTCAGGTCCCTCTATATATACTATATAATATATATGGTATACAGTATACACACACCACCGCATTCACTCTCACCCTACCAAACCTAACTCTCTCTCTCTAGTCATTGCTTTACTGCTTCAGTAAATCTTTTCTTTTGAGAGGTTAATCTGCTTAGAAGAGAAAGGTATATATATATATATATATGGCAGTCAAAGGGAGGGAAATTATGAATGGATTGAGTTCATCAGAAAAGTTTTCTGGCCGTCCGATGCCGAAGAGGGGTCAAGTGAAGGCCGGTATAGTTTTGGGTTTGGCTCACTCTGTGGCTGCTGTCTTCTCTCTCAGAAGTCGTTCTGCAGCTGCTCAGTTTTGGTCATTTTTGGAGAGAGAATAAGATGTTTTTGTCTCTGCGTGTGTGTGTTTGAATTGAACCCAACGATCATTGTATCTAAGAGTGGTGGGTATATTGAGAACCGTTTGCATATGAAGTGAGACTCTTTTCTTTTGCTTCTTATGTCTATTGTTGCTGGTGTCTTCTTCTTCTCTCTCTCTCTCTCACACACACATACTGTGCATACAGTGCTGAAGTGAAGTCAAGTGTACCTATCCATCGGCCCAAAAGAAAGCCCAAGCCCTTGTTCATCGGACTAATAAGGTCACCGTGTAGCAATATTGTCTGGGCCACGGGCTGAATACCGCGGCTTGATTCAGCCATATCCGAAAAGACAATGGTTGTTGGACTTGTTAAAGCTCCACAACCTGCAATTAATGGCTCAAAAGTTGTTGTGGCGATGAATGTCACAATTACACAGACTTGAAAATTTCACTTTATCGTTGATGGATCTCAATATTTATTAGAACTCAGCTTCTTATGAGTCATTAAGTCTACAAATCTATTAATTCTTTAAGTACAAATATCATTTTCAATTTCTTTATTGACTTCATAAGAGTTGCAGATCAAGTTTCTGGAACATTTAATGAGGTTGACCAAGCTAACATCATCTTCTAATAATTAAAGGATTGACTATGGTACTATGGGTTTGAAAGGGTTACTTACGGAGATTATAATTTTTAACACGATCTGTCAATTTAATTTAAAATAATTGAATAGATTAGGATCATAATTAGATTGACCTTTCGAGCCTGAATTTGATATGAACTCAACTATAAACAAATATAAATTGATCAAGAGTTAAGTAATTTTTGACACGATACAATCTAATCACAATACGACACATATTGCTAACGGTGATTCAAACATGTACCCCCAACCACATATTCAACGTTCTTCTTAATTGCTTGGAGAAAAACGGACAACTTTGACTTAAATGAATCTACACATTTATTAGCAAGTAGGGTTTCTTCTCTCCATCTGGTACAAAATAGCTGTGTCCATATCAATTTGAACACCAACTTCATGAGAATAAATGCCAATGCAAGTGTTCAACTGTCAATATTTTAATGAAAATACGAATAGACCCCATATGCCTGAATTTAATGCAAATTTTGGACAGTGGTCGGCCCTTCCCTTTTTTAATGCATGTGTTGTGTTTTATCTGACTGACTTTTAGGGGTGTCAATTTAACCCAACAACATGATTTTAAAATTAACACGATTAATAAATATGTATAATAAGTGAAGTGGATTAATGTTTAACACTTATAATATATTGAATAGTTTATTATTATTATTTTTTATGAATATTAATAAAAACACGACACAAATCGACTTCTTTGGTGGTGTGGTAGCAGGCTAAAACTATATACAAACTTGTAATGCTTTACGGGGAGAGAGATAACTAGAGGGTGGAGAAAACTGGCCTCAAAATGGCCCTCCAAGAGAGGTAGAGGAAATAGTGGGCTAGCCCTAGAGGTTGTGACAATCCCTTCTAGGGCCCTATCTCACTGTTAATGTTTATCAATCGGATTTCAGTCGATTTAAATTTGAATGCGATTAGAAAACTCGGTTCTGAATCTATACTTGTATTATATTTAAGGTTGTACATATGTTGTTTTTTTTTGTATATATATTGTGTGGATTTTACATTTATCCTCAATATCCGAATTCCCTAAAAGAAAAAAACAAAAACAAATCAATTTAGATGGCTCTCTACTTATTACTCAGTATAATTATGTAGATTAAATTAAGCTTTTATAAACTATGTATGATTGATGAATTTTTTTTTTTTCATTTTGATACCGATCAATCTTCTGTCCTAGCTCTGTACCACCCTCCTCTATCTCCACCTCACCATCACCCCGGCTGCCATGTTACCACAACCACTGCTGCCACCACAGTAATCACCCCACCTCCCACAACCACTAATACAATCTCTTGAACTATGACCTTATCATTTTTATCCCCACCCTACTACTACCACCGCTAACCGTACTATAACTAATTCATAAAATATGATAAACTAATTTAGATTTAGATTATCAGTTAATAGTAAAAATGCATCCAATCAATTTCACTTGGGTCTGATTAGAATTGACATCCGAACCATTAACAAACCTAGCTAGGGCGGAGCCATGCTTGGGTTAGGGTGGGCACATGCCCCCCTCAATTTTTTTTGCTTTATATTAAGCATATATTTTTTGAAATAAAATTTAGATATATTTAATTATGTTCACTCTAATATTATGTTCTGGTGATATTAATTTAAATAAATCTCTACTTAAATGATTGTTAACTTTTTAAACGACGTTATTAAAACATAATTTAAAGACATAATATATTGTGATATTAAATATAATAATAAATTTTAATATTTAATAAACTCTACTATCTATCCAATAGTCACAAACTATGTGGTCTTCATCAATTATATCTCAAATTAAGTACAACTAATATAATTGTTAACTTTTAGGCATGTGTCGAATATGTTTTAAACATATTAATGTTAATTATAGTTTTTTAAAATTGTAGGGTTATTTCATTGTTGTATAAAAATGTGTCTCGTGATATAGTAAACTATAGGATCATAAATAGAAGATTGTTACCGTGATTTTCTATATGAAAAAAATATTGTTGATTAAATTAATTTGTAACTCTTTCGAATAACGAAAACATACTAGGGTCAATTGTAAATAATAATAATTAGTCGCATTCTCGATAAAAAGTTTTAATTATTATTTTTTTATTCTTGTTAATCTTCTATGTTTAAAAAGTATTAAATATAATTTTAATAAATATAAATTTATGAACCACTACAGTATGTTAAAAAAAAAATTAAAATATACTAGTGTGTCAACTCTAAAATTTGTTTCTGCCTCCGCCCTGAACCCCGTAATGCTTTACTGCTCAGTAACATAATTTGTTAGCTCGCCAAAGGGGCCAAACTTTTCTCTTAAAGAGTGTAATACAATTCATATTATCATTATTGTCAATACAATCCATAAGGTCCTATATTATTTTTTTTTCAATTTTTCCAAAGTCCAAAATTTTATGCAAGTAAACCTTTCTACTGGCTATCCACACTTTGAACACACTTCTTCTAGCCTATATGTCTCTTATATTTTTCGAGGAAGGTTATTTGGGTTGTCCATCTATTTTTTTGTTGTCCTAATGAATTATTGTCTTTGGATTGAAAATAAATTCAAATATCGACTGCGATTCACTACTAATTCAAGAGTGATGCCATTGAAATCTAAAAAATTGATATAATTAGTTGATCTAATAATATGACAATAATGTGATTTAATAGAATTATTGTGAGGCCCACAAAAATTCATAACCATCGAGATATATAAGACCATTTCAATTGCATACTTAACCCCTTACCCAAATTTGAATTAAAAAATGGTAAAAAATTTGATTTGATATAAACTTCTTCAACGAAAAACCCAAATTTAAAGGAAGAGAAATTCAAATTTAAATGAGGAAAAATCTAAATTTAAAAGAGGATAAATTTGACTTGTTAAATTTTTAAATGATGGTATAATCTCACTATTGGTAAAAAAGATAAAGATTTGAGTCTCCTTTAATTTTAATTTAAAAAATAATTTTCCTTCATTTAGTATGATATTGATCTCGGTCCAACATAGGTGAAAGTTTTTAAGAGTTTTTTATCCCTTTTTAAAAAATGGTATAAAAAGGGACAAATGCCGGAGATACTCTATACGGAGCAATGGTATTTGGACTTTAATAGTTGAGACTATTTATTGACCACATGGATCATTGTCATCGATTTAAATGTGATTTTTAGTATTTTTTAGAATTTATTTCCTGTTCAATGACTATGAGTACAGGTGGTAAATGGGTGGATTAGGTTGATTATGGGTTGGATTAAAATAAATCAAATTTATTTTTTACTCACATAATAAATGGATTAGATTTATAACGGGTTAGATTAAACACGTTAACCCATAAATCACACACACACAACGACAACAAAATAAACACACACACTATTACATCAAAATACATACACATATAATTTTACACCAAAATACACACTATAAGTGATAGAATTAGAAACTAGTGTCAATTTTCAGAGGCAAAATAACATTTTTGTATAATACATAATCACCGAAAGGAGGTGGGCTCCGCACGCACTCGTTGTACATATCCATCCACTACGAACCTCTGCTACTTTTTTAAGTCTGTGCACTGTGCAGTTATTGCACCCAACCTAACCCTACCTCTCATGCAAACCCCCTCAACTGCCATCCACTTCTCTCTCTCTCTCTCTCTCTCTCTCTCTCTCTCTCTTAATTGCTTCTCCCACCGCGTCCCTCTAACCAGTACTTAAGTATTCTCCTCACACTCTTTCTGACCTCAACATCACTCTCTACAACCTCTCGATCTCTCCAAAATGAAGACCTTAACACTTTTCCTCTTAGCTTTCTTGCTCACCGCAGCCTCTCTCTCCTTTGCCACCCGACCCGAACCAACCGGGTCCTCCCAAAACCAGCCAAAGGCCTCCAAAGACAAAGGCCAAAGCAGCAACGGAGGCGGCGGCAGCAACAAAGGTGGTGGAAATGATGGTGGTGGGATGGGTGGGTTCTTCGGGCCAGGTGGCGGGTTTGACATACCCGGATTGGGAAATGGAAACGGGTGGGGTAACGGAATTGGTGGCGGGTATGGAGGTGGATATGGGGGTCCGAGTGGAGGGTACTCCAAAGGTGGTGTGGTAAGGCCTACTGTGGTGTGTAAAGAAAAGGGTCCATGTTACAAGAAGAAGCTGACGTGTCCGGCCAAGTGCTTCACTTCTTATAGCCGTTCCGGGAAGGGCTACGGCGGCGGCGGCGGCGGTGGTGGTTGCACCATTGACTGCAAGAAGAAATGTGTTGCTTACTGTTGAATTGAGCTCTGAGCTTGTAGCTTGTTGTAGTTTCTTATATATGTATTATATATGTATGGCCTGTGATGGTTTGGTTGTTTGGCAAAGTTAATGTAAACTTAAGTAGTAATTATGATGCTTGTTGTTAAGGTTTTTCTCTAAGCATTTAGTGCTTTTATCCTATATATATCCTCATGGGATTTAAATAAATTGGAAATTGTCTGAGAGAATTGTTGTCCTTGTGATGTTTATTTAGGGTTAGTATTGTGATAACAAAAACGAGTTAAAAATTGAGATATCATGAGTTTAAATATTTATAATTTTTTGTGATCTTGATATTTCTTTGAGGATAGGTATTTATCTCTCATAAATATTTTAATTTCGGTGTGAATAATTTAATTTTAACAGATTGAGAAAAAGATTAGTTAAAATACGATTAAACTGGTTCGGACACTTATGACTGTTAAATTAAAAAAAAAGACTACAATTCAGAAAGAGGTATTAACACGATATTTGAAGATAAATTTTGTAATCCATAGTGAAAAAAATTGAATATGCAGGTTTATTTCATAAGTGAACCGTGTGGGTTGCTGCTCAAAAAAAAAAACCATCACGGGTTGATCCGATAGTCTTGCCTATAAAAAAGTATTAAGACCTTGTCGTAATCATCCACATGACACGTTATCCAGATGATCCACCATGCCATTCATTCATCCACCACTATGCGCAATAAGAAACCAGTTTGGGTTTTGATCATTGAAATTTGATGGTTATGGACTTCCAAATCCTATTTTTTAAAAATTGTGCTCTCGCCCCCACTCTATATCATCTCATAGATTCGAATCTTGAGAGTTAATTTTCGCTGCATAAGAATAAAATTATCTATAACTTACGTCTCCCACGTCCTGTTATTATCAACGCTCTTTTGTGTCGGAACGTTTAAAAGTAAAGCCACGAGGGTCATAAACTGTACCAAATCAAACTTGGAACATAGAATTTATGGTCTCTAACGATGAAACCGAAATGAATCTCAGGCAAATCAACATGTCAACAACACCGATTTACAGACAATCAGTACCTAAATACAGCAGATATACTTCTATTTAGTTTCTATTGAACAGCTGTTCCCTCGATGTGTTCTGATTAAACCATGGTAAACAACATACATATGACAAAGAATGAACACACAAAATATGTATCGAAAGTACCCATCTCAAGAAAACAGTTTCTATACGCTCACTCTCACTCTTCGTTGCCTGAAGCACACCAAACCCAACCACTCAATGGCTTTGTTCAGTCAGGACAGCGTCATATTGCCGCTCTCAAGGCTCCTCTTGCAGCCTCGCGCTTCATCTCTGCAGCTTTGCCACTGCCTCGGAAGTACATGTATACTTGCTGCAAAATGGGAGATGAACAAAGTGAACAGACCAAAAGAGTGAGAGGCCATGGTGCCTGCAGCAATTTTTCACAGTTCTTGAAGTATAGGAATCAGATTGAGTTAAAATTTAGACCTGAATAACCCAGACGCTGAGCACTGACTCGAGACAGAACATGCCGAATCCAATGAAGTAGAAGATCTAAGCAATAGGAAAATCAATTAGCATGGTTACAAGGAAAATTATGGTGCTTAATGTGCATTGTGGTCTAGTGATTATAAACTCCCATTCCTCAACATTGCGCATAAATAAGATAAAAAAATTAATAGATTCCAATACCCTATTTATCTCAACTGATAGCATCCATATCACCCTCTAATAAACCCTAATAAACTAGGCTGCTATAACTTCAACATCAACCAAATAGATAGCAAAATAATGTGGGCATATACAAATATACATGCCCCCCCCCACCCCCAAAAAAAAAAAACATGGGCAACAGGGATCAAACTTACCCCAACTAATGCTTTGCCGCTGATTAGATCTACTGCAGGCAGTATACCGCTGTTAAAAAGGACCACGCAAAGCCAAATCATTAGCAGGGTATAAATGCACTTGTATTGCAGATATATTTCAAGAAGATTCAAAGCTCAAGAACATGCTACAAGACGTGGAGAAATTAAAGCCAACAAAATCCATCTCTGATGAATAACTGCCTCAAAATAATTGGAATAGAGAGGGAAGTCTAATAAGCTAACAAGGAAATTAATACTCAGACATTTTCCAGGTTGGATTACTTATTTACAACAGTGCAACTGTAAGAAAGGAGCTCACGTGAGAGATTTTCCTTTGAAAACTATAGGAGGAGCAACCGCAGCAAAAATGCAGAAGCCAATGTGAAGCTGTGGGCAAGGGGAAAGAAATGAAGAATCAGCTATGATTGTTTAAATAGATCCCAGAAAATCGAGAATATGGAAACTTACCAAGTAAAACAGGAAAAACCACCCAAATTTTATAGCACTCTCAGACCTGTAACAAACATAGTGATGTTAACAAAATAAAAATTTGTTGGGCACAGCAACCAAACTCAAGGCATAAACACAGTTGACAGAACCACATGATGGCCTCTTGTCAAGGTGATCTATAAAATACATGACTCAAATCTCACTATGATGACAATCAGATAAGTAGAAATGTTCAGAATTCATCCAGATAACTTCAATGACAGTACATGACATTCCAGTCATACAAGAAAACTAATCCCGTGTCTTCAGCCCAGAGTCGTCAAGATAAGGTTTCACCCAGACCATTCAATTAAATTAACATCATGGAGACCATCCGGGATCTTAACACATGCTCCATATGATTCAGAATACATCTGCTTAACAATCCATGGACAAATCGATTGCAAATAAATATATCTACCTGAATGCCCGATATAGTGGACGATACCACAACACATAGGCTCCTGGAACCCCCGCAATGAAGTAGATGATAGCAAGGAACCAGATTTTTGGGTCTACAGAAAAAGACAATCTTCAGAGGACTTCAAAGCCAACAGTGAAAGACATAAACAGAAATGGCATATAGATAAATCATAAATTATTCCAAACAAACCTCCTCCTTTAATCCATGCTGCGGTAGTGGCTATAATATTCCAGAGAAGACACCCAAACAATCCTGCTCAATATCAGCATTTATATACTCTTAGTGGAGTTGATCTTCAGAGGCTTACATGGAAGCAGCTTTGAAGATATAAATGCTAAACAATTAAATGATTACATAACATTCAACCCAGTGTATCTTACAAGTTACAAAACAACTTTTTTGTTGCAAATTGCCTCCTCTCTCCCAACTAATGTTATGATGAATGGGGCATGTTAGTTGCCCTATTCCACTTATTGTAGCAAAACAACATATCTTGACTGGATATGGCAGAAAATTCAGTATAGGTATATCGAACTCACAATGTAGTTGCTCAACGGTGTAGAGATAAGTTCTTTATTATCTCCTTGTATCTGGCATCATGTACTATGCAATAGTACATGACTACTCGAGTAATATAAAAGTGAAAATAATTATGCCAGTCCAGGGGCTTCATGTTTCCATAATTGGTTTTCCATTCTGATCTCTTAACAAAATAAAAGGTAAAAAAAGGAAATACAAGTTATATGCCTGGCTACAAATTTTGGATTTAAGCATGAAGGTTTCTAGTCCTGCAGTGGCCATGTTTCACAGGAATCAGAGCAGAAAACCTCGTAAGGAATGTTTCAGAAGCATAGAAAGTAATTAAAAAATTGGTACAGCTGCTATTCAAGATAACTTTGATTGTTGCTTGAAGATATGCACGAAAAAAAATAGTAGAGGTCAACATTTAAAAATGACTCCAAACACAACCACCCTCGTACCCACATAAACAGATATTATTTTAAGACAAACAATTGTGGAAGGAAAAAGTACCAAGATGCTGCAACTGCAGTTAAGGAAAGACATTCTCTTAAATGTTCACCCATGACAGCCAGAACTAGAAAATGGAACTGACTTCACCAACTTGCGCTATATTAACAAGTACTAAGATTCTTATGTATACCAAGGGTTGCATGTAGATAGAGCTCAACTTTTGAAAATGAGAAACATATGAAACTTCCATATAGTTAAGCAAAAGTTGACGTACCCAACAATGTTGTAAATGCAACATACTGCAACCTCTGCAGATGAATTGGTATTTCATTGGCGATATCATGATGGATGATAGGGCAAAATGGAGGCCAATTTTTCTCCTCAAGAACAATACCAGCTGCACAAAAGGAAAACTCAGTAAGTTACCACTCAGCTTATGGGAAATTAGACACCAAGGAAACTGAATTTGTATTCTCTCCTGTGTCTTTTTACAGCATGAACACATATTGTACTATCAACTTGATAAGGAGGAGGAGGAAGAGCTGCAAGTGCTTAATATATCACAGGGGAAGGGCCAACAAGAAATTGGGGAAAAACACAGACCAAGAAAAATACCTCGTGCCGCAGCCTCTTCTTTCCGTCTTACTTCCTGCATAGCATCAGAAGACAAATAAGAAAGTAACATAAGGGCACATTTATCCGAGACCGAAAGAAGATACTAGAATGAATATTAATTGAGCTGGCAGGGAAAGATGTAGTAGTGTAGCATTTGATCAAAGCTCTAGAAAAAGTGGGAATCAGAAATAGAATTCATCTAGCCATATCAAAATGGGCTACGTTGCAAAAAGTCCACTAATCACCAAAAAAAAGAAAAAAGACATTGAAAAAAGACAAAGACAAAGACCAGCGTCACTGGGCACCTTAAATCAATTCATGGATCCTCGCTTGTGTCAACTTTGTTACAAAGTAAGTAAGCATTCTAAAAGAAAATCATACATTTGGACAAAAAATCCGAAATGTTAAGGTTGGAAAAACTGGTGCTTCATATAACACAGCCACCATAAATTAACGTAAATCAACACACACAACTTTTTGACTGAAGAAACTGCTCCCTAGACTGCATACTACAATGATCTTCATAATTTGTTTTCTGAAACTCATTCACAAATAGCTTTCATTTTATCATTGCGACATGCATGGTTGACCAGTACCCGTTGGCAACAACCACAAAACAGCATCACAGATTGTGATGCTTGAAACAGTAATACTCATTCAAAAAACATGCATCATGTGAAGATTTATTAGGGCATCTTCTGACTCTTCTTTTTCTTTTTATTTGTTTATACTTAAGATTTTCTGTGCAGTGGAGTCCCAAGGGCTAAACACAACCCTTGGGGGTTTCTTGAATCCCCGCTAAGTCATAGTAAACTGATGGACACATGAGGAAAATATTTTGGCAAGTCATGCCGAGGATAGTCGTGAAAACCAACAGAGTAAAAAATTTATTCCTGTATGTACATATCCCCGAGGCCGAAAGGAAAGCACACGCAAATATCTATAACACGAGAATTTCCACCAGGCGTACCTGTTCTCTCTTTCTCAATTCAGCTTCCTTAGCTTGGAGTTCTCTCTCTTTCTTCTTCAAATCCTACAAGTAGACTTCAAATTAGAGAGACTGAAATACTATGAAAGGTGAAGATACGGACGAAAAACACGAACTGCATTTTAATTGATTCCAAATTGGCACCTACCGAAGCTGTATCAAGTGGAATATCAATTGGGGCATTACGATCATAGAAATCTGCAGGTTCAGGAGGAAGAGGTGAAAGCCTTGAGTTTGTGGCAGAAGGAACAGTGCCAGCACTCTGAAAAACAATCGTCACATGCAAGTAGTAAGAAGTCAAACCATCAACATACAACAAAAGAACTCCATAATGCATTGTGGTGATAAACAGAAAGATTAAAAAGACATAAAATTACACATCCCTAAATTAATAATATATTAGTAAACCTATAGGAATTTCAGGATTGTATATACTGGAAAAACAAAATAATAAACGGCAGCTCTAGTCCATTGTCATAAGATATTATAATGCAGACATCAGTACGCACTTAAGGGACTCGATGCATTATCAAAATAATATTAGGAGACTCATTTATTATATTTGACATAATGTATAACCCTCATAACAATGGAAAAAAATTAACAACAGTATGACTTTTTTCTTCTGCTTAAAACCAGGAGAAGTCAAAATCCCAGTGACTTAGGTAAGTGAAATAAATAAACAAATTGGTACAAAGCTGTCCTAGAAAGAAACTCCTGATTTTCTTGGTGAACCTTGAAGTTCTATACAATTATATATATCACTAAAAAACTTTATAAATAAGCCTCAATGAACTGACATATAACAAGCTACTTATAGGAACACTTACTAAGCTAAAAAGTTATAGTGTGTGTTCTCCATTCCAAGCTGAAGTAGGAGCATCTAAGAGGCTAATCAAGAGCAAGCAGACCCACTAATAGACTTTGGCTCTGGTTACTGATTTTTGAGTTATCTTTTATTCCTCTGCAGCATTTTATGTTTTATGTGCATCTTATAGATAG